AAAAAATGAACAAAATGAAAAATTATGATTGGTTGAATACGGTTTGTACAAATTGAGTGGTTTGCATTTATATATATATATATATATATATATATTAAAGAATACATACTACCGCTCAATATTGAACTAATACGGATAGAAAAGAAAACTTGAGTGATATATAAAAAGATGTTAAATGCAATAAATAAAGTGTCATTGCATCAACCAAGATCATTATTGAGTTTTATAGTACATGGAGTACACAACAGGACACGTCTACGTACAAGATTTCACTAAAGTCAATACGTACAAAAATACAAAGAAAGCTGGAAATCTACCCCCCATTCATGTTTTGGCATAAGCATCTGCAAATACCATCAAAGATTACAGAGAGGTATACCGACCTTAGCACTACTGACTGAAGTATCTAACTTGAGCCGAATGATATATTGTATACTCCAAACGATGATAACAAGAACTAAAAATCCATTATGACATTACCCAGATCTTTTTTATCGTATACGGGTTCTTATAAAATCCATCAACTTTCAAAAGTCTTAATTTCTAACAAGTCATATACATGAGCAAGCAATATCAAAGACTTTTGGTATGTGATGGATCATATGTTGATGTCCATGTGCAAACAATATYAAAGGCTTTAGTGTGTAACCTAGGCATGGGAATGGGGCGGAGACCTCAATCTCCATCCCCATCCTCATTTCCCTCTTCGATTACTTATCTTTATCTCTGTCCCCGTCCCCATCCCCGTCGGGAAATATAATCACATCCTCATCCCCAACGGGGAACGGGGATCCCCAACGGGGAAACGAGAATTTTTTTTTCCCGTTTATGTAAGTTATTTTAAATTAAATATGTGAAAGACCATACATGTTTAAATTTCAAACATTTTCAGTAAACCTAAAACCAAAATGAATTTAATTTAATACAAAAAACTACAGCACCATAAAAGAACTAATAATTTAGAAAAAAAATCGATTTAATCCAAAAAACTTAAATTCATATGTACCAAAAGATATTGAGTAATATAAAACCATATCGAGTAATATACAAAATTTATCGAGTAATTTTATTTTGACTTGACATCCAAAAACTTACATATTAACATCCAAAAAATAACAATTTTAGATTATAAACCTAGTAAATAAATAAAAAATTATGAATCACTGCTTTAGTTGAAATAAATAATGTATGTATGTATGTATGTATGTATGTATGTATGTATGTATGTATGTATGTATGTATGTATGTATGTATGTATGTATGTATGTATGGTGGCTTA